GGCAGCATCGATGGACTCAAGTGTGGCAACAGTAGTGAGGTTGGCTCAGGATCGAGCAGTGTTTCGTTCTGCTGTGCATAAGGTCACTACGGGTGGGTACCAACTCAATGGCACCTAACAACAATCTAGGTTTCAGTTCTTTATGAAATATTTAGAAAAAAATATTACCATTCATTGACTCTGTCAGGATAAGAGGATGAGGACCTCAAAAGCCTGCCAGCTGCCCAGACCATCCTGAATCTGGCCAAAGCCTACCATAAGAGCAGAAGGGAAACCAGGAAAACTAGTTCTTCTCTTACCACAGAAAACCACTTGTACAACAAACTATTTAACAGCAACTTCATAGTATTTGGTATACTTTTTATGAGTTATGGAAACTATGCTTTTCATATCTGTGGCACTATAGCATTAGCACTTAGCACTGGACTGCAATGTCACTTTAAATCACTAGGTCAGTGGTTCAACCTCACCAGCCACTCCTTGGAAACCCTATACAGGGTCGCTGTGAGTCTGAATTTCCTCAATGCCACTAATAACGACAAATACCATTCAATGTCCTGTACAGGTAAATTTCCCTAAGCAAAATCAAGTATCCCAACTCTGTTTACATATAGCACTGATAGAAATCCTACTATTTAGTCCCTGGTGTCCTGGTATGGTGCTTCAAGGTAAACACTTGACTGCTAACCACAAGTGTTTGAAACCCTATACAGGGTCGCTATGAATCAGAACTGATTCAACAGCATGTAACAATAACATTTAGTTCTATTTCATTTCCCTCAGAGTTAGTACACATATCTACTTCCACCACTACTACTGTATCTCCAGACGGTGCTTGTCTTTGCAAACCTAATAAGGCCTTGTGTATAACAGGCTTTCAGAAAATAGTTCTTGAATGAAAGTTACTTCTTTCTAAAAACAATGTTTAGGAGCTCCATCCTTGTAAATCTCCTTTTCTACTCTTTCACTGTTATTTAATAAAAGACTACATGAGTAGATTTATATACTCCATAACAATGATGAACTTTAGAACAGTAAAATAAATTGTGTTTTCCGTTTTAAGATGACTTTGTTCCGGAATACTTTTTCAGTTGCTTATCAATAAAACTAAAATGCCATTGTAACAAAATCCAAATGTTTAATTTTTTAAAAACTCAACTATACTAATGAAAATAAATTATATTTGTACATCATCTTTATACAACTATAACAGTGCTTTGAAAAGAAATGTTGTAAAAGACATTAATTTCACAATTAAAACATATTTTAAAAAGGGAAACATTAAAGAACCTTAAGTTAGTCTGCAATGTATCTCATAATGCTGAGTTAAACGTTCTTTATCAAATTAACTGTATTTGTATTCAAAATAGCATGGCTTTTAACTAATGACAACTATTTTTTGTCCATTTCAGTGATTTCTTGAATCCAAAACAAAATCTGTGTATTTATTTCTCTGAAAACATCATTTGTTGACCGTCCTTTCACTGCCATGGAATGATTTGCCTTCTCAATCCAGTGGATTTTGTGAGGAGCTTGCATTTTCTGTGCCACTTTCTCCAACAAATTCTAAAGAAAAAACAGAAGAGGACACTAGACTAATGCTTTATTAGTGTTTAGCTAAGAGAGATTCTCTCTCCCTTGCCTATGCTGGCATCCATCCACCAAGTATCTAAGACCTATTCTACAGGCAATTTCCTAGACAATGGAATGTGGACGGCAATGTCCACAGAAGTAGTCTACTTCTCTCACGTACATTAAGTTCTACAGAACCGATTGTTATGAATGATAAAAGTTACTAATTGGAGAAAAACCAATTCTCTAAAAATGTATTTTTTCCAAGGAAAATAGATGCTCTGGGAAAAAATGTGTATTTTTTCAAGATTCAATTTTATAATGAATTGAAACGTTTGCCTGAATATAGAAATGATAAAACCCTCATAATTCCCAAATCAGAAGATTCAATTATTTATTTTGAATCTTTCACTTCTCAAATAAGAGTTAATTCATTTACCAACTCTTTCCAGGGAGTTGAATTTATTGTCAGTATGCTTAGATTTTTAAGTTCTCCAGAGCAAAAAGGTAAATAAAATAAAGCACAAAAGCACCATTAAAATGTCACCTTTTTAAGAAACTTAATGCTGCAGGCTAATGTCTTATTCCCATGATATCTTTCTCATTCACACATACATTGAGTTATAATTCACCTTTTCACACATTTCATCTGCTGAGCCTGACACAAATAGAACAGGATCTTTTAAACGAAAGAGATCTTCATCTCTGAGTTTATGCTGCTGTTTTGGATGGTGAAGTGGATAAGAAATACAAATGAGACCTCGAACAAAATCATCAGCATCATCTGGCTCTATATGACACATTACAGAAGCAGCTGCTCTTGAACCCATTGAACGACCTAAAATCAATGAAATTTATGTTGAGTTTGAAATACAAATATTCATATAATTTGTGGTGATGGTGTGGCAAGTTACATTTCATTTCCTGTTTATCTGCTATATTTACATATCAACCAATCATTTAACTACAAAAATGTAGCAGTTAAAAAGTTATAATATCCTGATGTGGCACTGTAGGATAAGCACTGGACTGCTGCTAGCCACAAAGTTGGCGGTTCAAACCCAGTGGCTCCTAGAAAACCCTATACAGAGCCGCGGTGAGTCTGAACTGACTAGACGGCAGTCCGCAACACTATCCACAATGGACACCTATTGCCTCATAAAAAGCTAACACTTGATTATAAGTTAAAAAAAAAGATAATAGTAGCAATTATTTTCTGAAGAATCAAAGCACTGGGGATGAGCTCTGTAAAGGAAATCACTTAGGGTGATCAGGAGAGATTCTTATATGTTTCAGTAAATGTACAAGAGATTTAAATATGCTTTAAATAAATAAAATACCGTTACATCAATGAAGTGTTATACTAAAACAAAAAAAATCTTTAAATTAGCTTTCCTGTCATCAATTAGTTTTAATTCTCAATGATCTATTCCTATATCAAAATATATAGATTTTTAAACCAATTGCTCATAAATATTGTAACTTACCTCCAAGAAAAACACCTGCAAGTTTGTATTCTCCTGAGGTCTTAAGGTAACTCTAGGAGAAAAAAAAAAATCAACCAAAAAATGGTAAATTCTTCTCCCATAAACTAGTCCACTGGGAAACCAAGATATATTATTTATCATTACTGAAATATATGAAAATCTACACAAAAAGCCACAAAATCTCAAGCTATATCATCTCTATAATGTATGATTCTTTTGAGAGAAGTTCCTTTTCTAGTCATGGCTTCACTATCAAATCATATGTTGGGCAATACAGGTAAATATGTAAGGAATATTTCTAAAATTATTCAAGTACTATACACTTTGGGGGCCGTGGTGTGGTACTGTAGGATAAGCACTGGGTTGCTATCCGAAAGGTTGGCATTTCAGATCCACAAGCTCTTGGAAACCCTATGACAGAGTCAGAACCAATTAGACGGCACACAATGACAAATCACTTTCAAAGAAGAAACTGTAAATACAAGGGGGTTTCCAAAGATTCATGGGAAAACTCCATTGTCTTTTCATTGCTTTTTTTCACAAAGTTTAAAGCCCCATTGTACATAAAATGAAGGTCTGTAAAGTCTTCCAACAAATGCTGGCAATATCTAATTAGTAAAATTAATATAATGCTCATTCTGTGTGCCTTGAAATCCATTTTGACTCATAGTGACAAAGTAGAATTGCACCAGAGGGTTTTCTAGGCATTTTTTCCTTTTTAAATTAAAGTAGCTTTTAAGGGCGCATATCGCCAGGTCTTCTGCAGATCTTTTGGTTAGTAGTCAAGTATTTAGCCACTGACTCATCAGAGATATAAATATAACTTCTAATTAGTAAAAGTAATTACTGAAAATTCTAAAAATCTTAAGTTTGAAACAATTTAGGCTAAAAGAAATTTTAGCTTTTATCCAGGAATTTTAAGCAATGTATCTAAATAATAGTGTAGTATTTGTACATGTAGAGTATAGCAGACAAAATATTCTAGAATGCCAAAATTATATCCTAATGTCACATAATACCAATAGGAATATTACATCAAAAGTAGCTTATTTGGCATTTATCACAGAGGGCATTTATGTTAGCTTATATCTCCAAGGAAACTAACTCATGGCAAAAAAGAAGAATCTAACCAGCCCTTATGTATTGTTGATTTTCTAGATACTCATTAAAGAAAGCTTAAACCAAATAACTGCTAAATAAAGCTTTAAATTTATTATGAATTTAAACAGAATTCCGTTCTAAGTAAATATAAGGAAAATTTCTTACCAAAACTGATTTATATGCCTTAATTCTATGTACAATATTAAGGCCTTTACAGGTAAATCTCAGGCAGAAAAACCCATGAGATGCAAGATGGGATGCCAGTGACATCAAATGAGGAAGATTCATGTCTCCTGATGCTCCATGTGTAAGAATTACTCCGTACGTTAAATTCTTGTTAGGTACCAAACAAACAGCATCTAGTAATTTATTTCCAAAAGGTATTTTTAATTTAACCTGAAATTCAAGAAAATAATGGGATCAATAATCAGTAATTACTTCCTTGCCTATTTGGATAAACTAGTTTCCTCTGAGAGCTTCATGATTCAAGGCATGGCTGCTAAGTAAACACCAATAATACCTACTATTTTAAGAAGCACTATTACAAATTATTGCTTTGTATTAACTCATTTAGCCTTTCTAATAATTCTATAAGGCAAACATTATTACTATCCCCATTTTATAGATGAGAAATCTATAGCTCTAGATAGAATTCAAATTTAGCAATCTGCTCGAGTCCTTAGTCTTAACCACTATTGCTATACTGCCCCTCACAGTATAAAAATTACTCTAGAGCCATATGGTTACCCAAAAAACAAAGTAGAGGGAATCCAGAAGATGCAGAAATACAAAAATATTACCTCTGTATGACTCATTTTCACTGTTGAATAACAAACTTAAAGTGCATTACATCTGAGAGGCAAAGGACATCTCCCTGAAAAGAAGATTCTGTGATGAAAGGTGGGTTGGCACATATAACACACAAACTATGAATGAACACTTTCAGTAACTGAAATAAACACATTTATAACAAATACTTCTCTAAAGACGGTGCTTCACTCCATGTGTGCAAGGTGAGGTTGGGCACCGCACCTTCAAGAGCAGATGGCTCCAGAAGCAAGAGCAGGGACATGGGGAATAGGAACTGTGACCTTGGCTGGGGAGAGACCTGCAAGTTCCAGTGAAGTAGAACAGGACGCTGTCCCCCATTCGTTCAGCTCAGGTGTTGCCCCTCAAATCTCTCATAATCACTTTCCTCTGTGGGTCAGGGTACACGCACAAGACCAGTGGTTACCTCTCAATTCCTCAATTCATTTTTCTCTCTCTTTTCAGTGCAAGAAGCCCTGATGGTACAGTGGGTTAAACGCTGGGCTAGTAGCCAAAAGTTCAGCAGTTGGAGCACAGTAGCCGCTCTGAGGGAGAATGATGTAGCAGTCTGCTAGCTTAAAAACTGAAGGCCTCTGGGTCACATGGTCTCAAAGGCTATGGATATGGGTTAGATAGAAATAATTAATTCAATATTTTCAAGGCTCTGTGGGCACTGAGAATTGGTTGGTTATAGGTCTAGCGCTGGGGATGGCACCTGTTGTATATAGGATAAAACAACCATGATGCCTTGACATAGAAGCGTTAAGATATGCTGTACCTTGTCAATAAATATTTTTAAGCATTTCCTCAAACAACTAACCTCAACTTAATTTCATACTATCTTTGTTGTTAACTCACTTCCATCCTTATCATTGTTACTAACTCTGTGCCTCTCCTTAAAATAGAAGTACAAGGGAACTTCAAAAAGTTCATGGAAAAATTCCACTATCTTTCAATTTATTTTCCCACACTTTTTGAAGTCCTCTTGTATAGTTGTTTGTCATGCAACTCTGCAGTGCCTCCCAGTAGGCAGAGTGCACATCTCTGAGTTTCTGAGGTTTGGGCCTTGGTTATGAGACTTAAACTTTAACCACTGAGATATAGATGTTTCAGTGTGCCACTTCCCACCTGGCAAATTTCCACCAGCTCGCTTAATCTTCCCCTGGGCTAGGAGAACAGCATGGCCCAGGCAGCTTTGCTTTTTCATGCTAGGTCCCAGAAATGAAGATATCTGGAGTAGATATAAACCCACAACTAAAGTCTGTATGTAGTCCAACTTAGTCAAGATCAACTAAAGCACAGCTGATCTGAACTATGAGCATGAAAAGCTGCACACCATTAACATGCAAGCATGTTGTCATACAGCATCATCACAGAAACCTGAATAAGATTCTTTCTTACTCCTAGCCATCTTTTAGGATGTTAGTATCAGGATCTTCACTACTCACCAATTTTTTTCCTGTTAATATTTACTGAATAGGTTCAAAAGATACCAAGAACATATAATAAAGTCTCCCTCAATACATAAGGGAGTTTCATCAAGTTTGTGTGAAAATTCTGTATCTTTTCATTTTCCAAAAACTTTTGAGGTCCCCTCATATATATGAATTTTCATTTTTGCAAACAGGTAGTCACATTCTTCTAAACCCTCTTGGACACTGCCTAATATCTTCACTAGTCACTAAGCATCTTTCATTCTTTATGACAGCATGAAAGAGCTATTATGCATAATTTACTATAACCCAGTCATCTACTAATGAACACTGTGATTGTTTTCGATATTTTGCTATCACAATATTGCCATGAGTGGCACCATCCTACATTATTTCACGTGTGTAGGTATATTTTTGCTGTCAAAGGGTATATCCGTTTGCATTAATTCAAGGAAATACTTGTTCAACTTATTTGCAACCCCAAATCAGTGCTTTTGAGGATCATTTTAAGAACATGCAGACGGCAGCAAAAAATTTGAGTTACCCTATGCATGTGTTATCACCTACATTTGAATGTTTTGCCTTGCTTCTGCTCTCAGATTGTAAATAAGGGTTCTTTTTCACAGTATATTTCCAGCCATGCTTGTCAAATTTTTGTGGTTTTTGTTGATAATTGTGCTACTTAAAATGGCCTCAAACAGTTATAAGTGCTGTCTAGTGTTCTCATGTGCAAGACGGTTGTGGTATGTCCTACAGAGAAAATGTTACATGAATTTCAACAGATATCAACGGTAATGAATCAATAACATATATTAAGCAACACGTCTTTAAACAAAAACACACATAAATCAAGGTTGTGTTACCAACTGATAAAAATGTGACCAGGTGCTTGAAGGATGAGGCTTTCTGCCCCCATAAAGGTTTATAGTTCCTTGGAAATGCTATGCAGGGTCTCTGAGTTGCATGCAACCAGCTCACAAAACAATAATTCTGTATTTCCCTCAGGGGTGAAAGCTCTGTTTGCTAGTTCAGTGTTCTCTGTGACTCTACAGAGCATAATTAGAGAATGAGATTTTACAGTGTGCATGTAGAATTCTCTTGAGACTACAGAATCAGCTACTTTGGGTTAAATAAACAAACAGCCTAGGTACAAAAAGTTTGGGAGTGGAAGGGGGGCGATAAAGGAATTGAGCATTCCTAAGTGGCGCTGTGGGTTAATGAGCCAGACTGCAAAGCCGTTTGAACTGCAACATCGGCAGTTTAAGCTCACCAGCTGCTCCTCGGAAACCCTATACAGGGTTGCTATGGGTCAGAACCGACTCGACGGCACCTAACAAACATAACTTTAAGGAGCTCTGGTAGTGTGGTGGTTAGAATCGGGTGCGAACCTTAAGGTCAGCAGTTCAAAACTACCAGCTGTTCAGGAGAGAAAGATGAGGGGTTCTGCACCAGTAAAGATTTCCTGCCTCGGAAACCCTGTGCAGGGTCACTATGAGTTGGAAGCGACTCCACTGTACTAATAACAAACATAACTTAATTGTCATAAACATAGGGTGGTTATCGTGCTGTTCAGTAGGCTGAGATTCATAACAACCCTTTACAGGTTTCAGAGGCTGTAAATCTTTATAGATGCAGAAAGCCTCATCTTTCTCCTGAAAAGCAGCAGGTAAGATTGGAACCGCTGGCCTTACAGCGTAACTCACACTATGCTACCAGGATTCTTTTTCATAAACGTAGTCCACATCAGGATGAACTTCTCCAGTTCTTACTTTCTTAATACGCTTTAAGTCTTATAACAGAGAGAAAGGCCGTCACCCGAGTGTGAAGTGGGGAAGAGATGCTTCCATTAATTTTTGCCTGTTTTTAACTGCCGTCGAGTTGGTGATGATTCACAGTGAACTCGTAAAGCGTTTTCGAGGAGTGGCTGGGACCCTGAGGTTAGCAGTCCAGTACTTAGCCTACAGTGCCATACAGTCACCCAAACCTGTGACAAGGGGCAGAGAATTCAGGTCACTGATGTTTCAGTTTTTGCCACCACGTTAAGTGCCGTGGAGGGGGTTCATACTCATAGCAACCCTGTATAGAGTTTGCGGGAGCAAAAAGTCTCATTGTTCTCCCGCAGAGCAGCTGGTGGGCTCCAATCACCGACCTTGTGGCTCCATAGTACAGTGCTTATCTTTCGGAGCCACCGCGGGGCCAGCTTATGCTTGGCCATGCTTAAACTCCCACACCCACTCCCACCACCATTCCCTTGCTCTTAGATATGCCAGTTTCTACGCATTTTGAAGATATTGTCGTTACAGTATGGTTTCGCAGCATCCCTCATTTCGATTTGGACTTAAACTACGGAGTCCTGGTGCGGCGCCGAAGGGTAAAGCACTGGGTCAGAAGGTAGGTTTGAACCGCAAGGTCGGCAGTTCAAGCTCAACAGCCGCTCCTCGGAACCAACTCGACGGCAGTATCCAACAACGATTTGCTAAGACATTTGTTTTGTGGAGCCCAATCATTCTGTCCATTGGCGCCATCCTTGTGGGCTGATGCCTTTGAAAAATCCTTTTTAGTGAAATTTTAAGAGGGAGTAGAAGCAGATGCTCGCATCCAATCCACCGTGTTGAACCTACAGTAATCCCTCCTTAACAACATAGGGTTTGAGGTTTTTTTTTTTTTTTTCTTAAAGAAAAACGCTCCCCTCGAGACTTCTTGATGCCCAGCGAGCTGGCGCCGATCCCCGGCGGCCCCGAGGTCCCGAACGGCACCGCAGAGGTGACAGCGCTGACCCGGCGCAGACGCGTCATCAGGCAGAAGAGCGCACGCCCGGGGCCGAGCGCCGAGCCCGCACTTAGCACTCAGGGATTCCACCGCCGGCTGGAATGCTCGCCCCCCGGGAAGTCACCCCATCTTCGGCCTTGATCGTTCCACTTTCCGGGGGAAATCCGTGGGCATCCCCCGCTTTACACTTTACACCGCTGCACGGGGTGTCAGGGAGTCTAGAAAGCGCTGGGCAACCGCCCGCAGCAGACAATACAACGGACATTTCCAAATGACGCCTCACAAGACCTGGTGATGCACTGAGCGGGCCCAAGCTGTTGCTTCACTCTTCCACCCATGAAACACATGCCCGTGTGCCAGGGCGGTGCTGGGGGTCGTTCCCGAGGGGCCCGGGATCGAACCTCTCCGATACAGTCGGCGGACAACTGGATAATGGAATACATGTGGAGCCCGCTCGGCTGGCCGCGTCCTAACTCCTCCCTACACTCCGCCTTCCTAGTTCGCCAAGACCACGGGCACCAAACTTAAACCCAAAGCCTCACCGATCCGGACTAACAGCTCCTGAGGGGCAAGGAACGGCAGCCCGCAACGCCTCCAGGCGGGGCCGGCAGACGCGCCACCACTACCTCAGGGAGCCATTCTACAACCGGGGTGTCCCAACCGCCGCCGCCGCACTTACCAAGGGAGGGAAAAATGGCCAGGTACGCCCAACCGCCCTCACTCCCTTCAAGGAGCAAACTACCGAGCTCGAAGCGACCGCCTCGGCTCACCGACCAACGCGTTCCGCTACTGCGCACGCGCCTCCGGACTCCGCCCCCCAGACGCGCGAACTGGGTCGCGGGCATTCTGGGAATGGGAGTTTTCTACCCCGCCTCTGCTTTGCGCGCCAGAGTTCCCGCCAATTCCCATGGGACTATTCGGTGTCGGGAGCAGAGTCCAAGGAAAGCGAGCTAGGACTGACCACCTTGTCTCACCAATAACTGGATGATCGGGATCTATTATGAATTCCATTCTGCCAGGATTTTTTTTTTTT